TGAAGAATTACGGTGAGAAAAAATAAACTTTAAGGGTTAACGCGAGAAAGTTACCAAATATAGGGAGAAAGTGTAATTTATCCTTTAAAAATTAAAAATAGAATTAACTCAATAATAAATAAATAATAATTTGACTAATAATTTATTATAATTGAAAAAGATGGTGATGCGTATTCTTCTAGATGAATGCCAGCGGTCAAGGCCCTCACTCTCATGCCCAACCAAAAAATTAAAAAGGTCGGGAAGAAAAATATTGAGCTGTTTGAATTTTGACTACATCTCTTTAATTGAGACTTCTCAATTTCACTATTAATGGCGTCGTTATGCTTTTTTTTTTTTTTTTTTCTTTCATCTTCTAACTCTTTTAAGTGGACATCGTTTGGATGAAATTGAGATAGCAAAATTAGAAGAATCAATCATTCCATCTATTTATCTTGTAGAATTCATTATTAAGATAAAGAATTAAATTTATCAAATATTGATATTTTGTTAAGAATTGATTTTTTTAAAATATTTTTTATGTAAAGACGTGTAAAAAGTATAAAGAGTAAGTTTCTGTAATAATTTTTTAAGTATTTTCATTAAGGAAAATGAAATATAACTTCACTATTTATATTCATTTATAAATCTAAGGTGATATGATTGGTTAATTATTAGAGAAGATATGAGAGAGACTTTTAATATCCTAATTGAATGTCATATCACTTAACTTGAAAATTAAACCTAATTTTTGGTCTTAAATAACAATATTCTTTAACTAATTTAGCCACTTTCCAAACAAAACCGGATAGATCCATGATCTAATTAGATCTATTTTGAGAAATATGAACAAAAAATAAATCATTCATATTTTTAAAAATATGGTTAATTTTTTATACACATAATTAGATTTTATGTGGTATGCACTGAGAAAGTAAACTTTCCATTGGATAGCCAATGAAATTAAAACCTACTACAATTCGCTCCATAATAGTCTAATACTCCAGCTCAAAAACCATGGATGAAAAGTAATCCTCCCCTCCCCATCTTGAGAAGTTATTGGTTGGTGTTGGAGTACCATCAGATAGTGTCTCAAAAATATTGTGATTGATAAAAGATGTGAGATTTATAATTTTGTATTAAGTAAAGGCATAGGAGTTTATAATTGGTGAAGAGTACTATCACGTGGCGCTCTGGGAGCACTAAATAATTTTTTTCTCCATTTTGAGCTATTTTAATAATTTAAATCTACCATCTTTTGGGACTAGTCAAATTAATTATTTATATAAAAAATTAAATTGAGTAAACATCGATAATTATATAATTGAATTATATTTATTTAAAAAAATAGATTATTTATGCTCAAAATTACACTTCTTGTTAATTTTTTAAGACAAGTGACATCCAGCGGTGTTCAGATTACGTAGTAAACAACCAATCCAAACCAATCTCTTTTAGGTTGGGTTGGATTGGTTTTTTAGTATATTGGTTTGATTCCGGATCTTCAAATCATCAAACTGATAGGATTTGATTAGTTCTTGATTTAGGCCTTATCTAAATTGAATCAACCTAAGAACTGAACTTATATATATATATATATATATATTAATTTTTTATTTATATTAATATGTTTTCACCTTATTGGTCTATTACAATAGATTTGATTACATCTAATAATTTTTCACATACAAGAATTGCTAGGTGAACTTAGGAGTTACTAAAAGTTTGAGCCTCCGTTTGGAAAGTGGGTTGGTTTTTTGACTTTTTTGGCTATTTTAACCTGGGCTAAAAAACTTAGTTTGGGAAAGATTTTTTGACTTTTTTTGTGAGAGAAGAGTGTAATGATTATGGGTTGGATGTGATGTTTTGTTTGTTATGCTTAAAATAGTCTATTTTGTCTTTTATGGCTATTTTAGCCATAAACCAACTTGCCAAACAACACCATTTGTTGTATTTTTTGAATTAATTTAAAGAGCAAAATTTATTTTACTCCATTGTGGTTTCGACTTGGAGCAGTTTATCCCTTATAGTTCAAATATAGGGAGAAAACTCCCTTATTGTTTTGGACTAAAGTGGTACAATTAATTTTTTCATTAAAGATAATGGAAGGTGTGCCACACTATCTCAAATTGAGAACGGACAATGCAAAAGTGTTAAGTTAAAATCAAAGTCAAAACTTGAATCAAATGTTAATAATACCCTCATATTCATCTTATTCTCAAAATTAAATCTTAATATTAACCAAACCCTAACCCTAATTGTCATCTTTTATAAAAAAATTAATTTAATTTAAAATGTTATTAAATGAGAAATTGGGTTATAAATTAAGGAAATTTTAAGATAATAAATTAGATTATTTAGGTTAAATTATGGTTTAATTTATATACATATACACATGTAAATGTTTGATTTAAAATTTTATTAAATAAGAAATTGGGTTAAAAATAAAAATTAGAATAAGGTAATTTATGATTTAATTTTATGGTAATAAATTAATATATTTATGTTAATTTATGATTATGATTTAATTTGTTAAATATATACATTTATATGTTTAATTTAAAATGTTATTAAATAAAATAATTTTAATAAATTAATGAATTTACGATTTAATTTGTTAAATATATATATATGTTTAATTAAAAATATTATTAACTAAGGTAATTTTAATATAATAAATTAGAGTGTTTAGTTTAATTTATGATTTAATTATATATATATATATATGTGTGTGTATTTTAAATTTTACAAAAAATTAAAAATTAGATTAAGATAATTTTATGATTTAATTTTATGGTAATAAATTAAGGTGTTTAGGTTATCTTGGGTTACGGTAATTTTATGTTTAATTTAAAATGTTATTAAATAAGAAATTGGGTTAAAAATAAAAAATATAAAAATTAGATTAAGATAATTTTATAGTAATAAATTAGAGTGATTAGTTTACTATGATTTTATTTGTTAAATATGTGATTAAGATAGAAAATTATTTATATTAAAGAAGAGAGAAAGATAATATACTATAGGACTATTTAAGTAATTTTGCCCCTACTTTTAACCGAGTTAGTTTTGCACTAGTCCAAAATCATAATATGGTTCTTTGCAAATATTTGAACTATAAAGGGGTGAGGTGCTCCAAGGCAAAACCAAAAGGGGGATAAAGCAAATTTTATCCTAATTTATATTAGTCATATTTAAACTTGAATTGGATTTAATTTATATTGATTTGCATTAAACAATATTTTACTCTTTGTTTATGTTATGTTTAAATGTTAAAGATTTTTGTATTTTAATTATTTATTATTAATTGATTCACTTATTTTTAATATAATAGAACTGTGGTTCTAATCCGAACGAACCCGAGCTATATTGGATTAGGTTAGGTTAGTTCTAATGCATGATTTTTTTTATCAAAAAATAAAAGTTCTAATGCATGATTGGTTTGATTCTGTATTCAAAAATTTAAAACTGCCCATAATTAAATTGAATTTAAAAATTAATTCCAAATTCAACCAAACGGATGCATGAATATTCCTAGTGACATCCAATCATTTTGTTACCAATATTCAATTATTAATATTTATACGAACAATCTATTACTAAATTTTATAAAATAAATAATTTGAATTGCCAACATCCATCCACACCTCTCAACTATACACTTCAATCCAATTAATGGTCGGACGAAAGAGGAACCCATTCCACCAAACATATATCTATACCAGAGACAAAGAAATGTTTAGGTTAACATGCCACCATCTTCCTCATTCTCTTTAACCTAACTTTAAAAATTGAATATTCATCATTTTTTTTCCCTTAATTGCATAGATTACAACCAATGTTGATTAAAAAAATAATAATAATCTTTTAATTTTGGTTACCAATTCGCACCAAAGGCGGAATAAGTACAAATCTACAAGCTACACACAAAAAAAAGTCCTACTATGAGAAGTTATTCGATGGGTTAAAAATTTCACGATAATAGTGTGCTTAGTCAATGAGAACAATATATGAAGGAAAAAAGTCACAATATATGGAGTAATTATAGCAACTTTATCAATAACTGCCACATTTCTTAAAACTTTATTAGTTGAGCATACCACATCAACATGATGACTTGATGTACCTGATCTATTGAATAATTTTTTACTACTTTATGTATGTTTCTCTCACTGCTTTATGTATGTTTCTTCGTTCTCTACCTTCACTCGGTTAATTATGTGAAACTGGAGATGAACAGCCATTAGACCTTGAAAGGGGATAGAGAAAGACAATAGACATAAAGGACTCATTTGTTTTTAGAGATAGAATGAAGGAGATTAATAGTGAGGGAATTGTTAGTGAAGAGATTAATAGTGAGGGGATTAAGTAAAATTATGATTGTTTTGATGATAGTTGTTAGTGTATAATTGTTAAATTATTTTTATATAAAATAATAAAAACAAATACAAAAAATTAAACATTAATGTTCAAAAAAAAAAATCCCAATATGTAAAAAATAAAAAATAAATAAAAAATTTCTAATCCCCTCACTACTTTTTTAATACCATCTCTACCTCCTACATCTCAGTCTCCCTTCCAACCTCCATCTTAGGCCAAGTTTGGGTACTTCCAAAAAAGTCAAAAAGTCAAAAAGTTACTCAAAAAGTTAAAAAGTTAACACTATTCACCAAAAGTCAACAATTACGGCTGCACAACTCCCAATCCTAATTTTCCCCTACAAACCAATTTTTACAATTTTTTAATCAATTTTTACAATTTTTTATTACACATTTTTCAATAAAAAGTCAAAAAGTTAACCCAAACATCCATATTTTCAACCTCAATTTTTTAGTCCAAAAAGACAAAAAGTGCACTTTTTTAGTCTTTCCAAACTTGGCCTTAATCTCATCCTCCATCCTAATTCCTTTCCCAACTCTACAAACAAACATAACACTAAATAATTTCATCTCCATTCTAATCTCATTCCATCATTTACCCCAAAATAAACGGGGCCAAAGGGTGAAAGAACAACTACAAAGTACATATATTTTGAGAACCACATTTCACTATTAAATGGAGAACATTGACTACTCAAATCAATGAACCAATTATTGTGAGATCCAATGGGCCTAAATGACTAAAGTCAAGTTTGACATACCTCAAATAATTTATTTTTTTATCTTTTTTTTATCACATCACCTCTATATTTTTTTACACATCTTTTTGTAAAAAGATAAAAAATATACTTATTTAGATAATCCCAAACAACTCCTAAATTACATGTATGGAAGTAAGAAAAGAAAAAAAATAAATAAAAAATATCAAAACTAAAAATTCAGATGTGCAGTCTTTGGTTCTGTTGTCGTGTGCGTTTTCGCTTTCTTGTAAGCGGATCGACCCAGTTCTTGTCGTCGTCCTGCACAGCTTGTCTTTGCTTTCTTATAAACGGATCAACCCAGTCCTTGTCCTCCTCCACAGCTTGTTCCCAGCGCTTTTTAAATATTTGAAGCTCCGATGTTGATTGCCTCCTTACCTGCTTATAATCCAATTTCAATATAAAAAACCAAGAAGTTTGTTTTGGCAGAAATCTTATTTTGAGAAAAAAAATAAAAAAATTAGAAAGTTTTTCCATAGAAAACATTTTCAGAAAACGTTTTCCACCTTTAAAAATTGAAATCATTATTTTCGTTGACCATGAAAAACATTTTCCGTGGTACCAAATGTCAAATAACATGAAAGATCAAAACAAAAGTGCATAATGTGTAATTGGTTTTTAAAAATTCTTTAAAATAAATATTTACAATGTGTTGGGATCTTGGAACACAGCCTTAGATCCGCTATTGATCATTCTAGACACAAGCATCTGTGGTTTTTAATGATAGTTATTGAAGAACGCAAAGACTTAAAATGACAGAGTACATTACAGGTTCCGTTGACTCACCTCAACTCGCATATCAACAGTATGTTTCTGAAAATCAAAAGGGAAAAACTGAGCGCGAGAAAAGTAAAGATGTAGAAATATTTGAACATAGATAGAAACAAATAGAAGGCAGTAGGACTAGAAGGGAAGTATACCTTTGTCGACTCTTCAGGACTTGAAGCCTGCATGAAGATGGAGAAAGCATTAAAAGAGGTAGGCGGAGATATAGCCATTACATCAACAACAACAAAATCAATGATTATGCTGCTAATTCTCCTGCGTTATTTAGAACGGTAAAAAATTATAGATGAATATGAAGGAAGAGATGTAAACTATAATTCTGACAATTTTGTCACCACATTGTCCTAATCGAACCATTTAGACCATGTTTTTTTTTTTTTTTCTTGTGAAATCAATTTAAAAGTAAGATTAAATTTCTCAATGGTCTCTGTTTTTTGAAATGTTTTCATCTTCATTTGTGTAATTTCCTTCATGAATGGTTTCTTTGGTTTGGAAGGAAAATAAGAAAATACTTTTCTTAAACTCATGACAGATCAATAACAAGAAATACAGTTCTCATCACAGTTTCTAGGACCTTAAAAAAATCTTTCTTCTTTCTCTAACCCATTAAGCAGTTATTACATGAAATTTTGGACAAATCATGTAGCATTCAATGCAAGAAAGAAAGTGGTAGAGAAAACATTAAGGCCATGTTTGTTTGGGCGGACTGGATTAGCATTCCCATGACTAATAGTCCTAGGGGTACAAATCCATTGGATTATGTATCCTATCTTAACTAATAGTCAAGTTTAAAATAATTAGTCCGTACTTCAATTGTTTAATCAAACATTGGATTAGTAATTTTATTGGACTATTAGTCCAATCCCAAGCTCATGTCCACCCAAACAAACATGACCTAAGTGCACGAAATTAAATGAAGAAAAGGAATAGTTTAGGCAAATGACCTTTCTAGATGCCCCTCCCAAAGTTTGTATTCCTTTATGAACAATATATTCACTATCAACAACTCCCACATTTTTTGATGGGTCCCCCTGTGAAAAAAATAACAAATTTGATGAAGAATGTATAAACCAAGGCAAAATTCAAAAGGTAAGTGCTACCCGCCCTTGGCCTTGTGGCACAGGAATGAACCTCTCTAAAAGAATGAGGGTAATGTTGCCTACCTGCTACCTCACCCAGGCCCTGCTATAAGGGGGTGCCTTTAGTACAACCATTACCCAATGCAAAATAGTTTTTTTCTATGAAAAACCACTAAAAGAACCTAGAACCAAACCATTTGATATGGAAACATATTTATGACGCAGCTTTACAAACCCAAAATGCAAAGAAAACAAAATACAACATGGGCTGTATTACATAATACATCTTCACATACAAAACTGCAAATCGGTACACCTTGATTCAAAGATTTAAGAATAAGATGTGTGCATGCACGTGTTCACACACACCCTAGCACATTTGACAAGCAAAAAAATAGGCAATTAGCTTCACAGAACCCTTTTCTTTTTTTAAATTTCTTTGAAGGGTGAGACTTGAGAGGGAGGAAAGGGGTGTTCTCTCTCTCTCTTTGAAACAGAGGAAAAGAAATGCCAAACTTGGTTGAAAAATTCAGCTTATGCATCCTCGAAGATGTGTCTTTGCACTGCTACTATATACAAAACATTGATTGCATTGGCAACTACTCTCTAGACCAGTCTCACTCTTACCAATGCAGTCCACTACAAATAAAGTTAAATGTCATTCAAGTCTCGATAATTACTAGAAATCTTTAGTATGGGCGAGTGATGATGGCAAGATGGTGGTGTTCAAGAAGGTGGTTCCGGTGATTGGATTATGTTGGTGGTGTTGATGATGGAAGAGTGATATCAGCCATCTCAACAGTGATTGAGGTGGTAAGGGTGGTTTCAGAAGTGACTTTCACAAACAGTTGGAAGGAGAAGATTCTATGTTCATGCAGTAACACAGTTTGGTGGTCCTCATCTTATAAAATAGAACATGAGAGACAATTCCCAAAACAATTCAGCAGTGCTAGACAAACCAATCAAAAGGTGCAAGTAAATCTTACCTGTGCGCAATACCCAAGTTTCATATCCATTCCCCATCCATGAATAAGATCATTCTGACAAAAAACAGAAGCACCTCTGTAAGTTAAGTTGCCGTTTAATTCTATATGCCGGTGATGCACATATACAAAACACTCATTCAAATAATGGTTATCGAGAGAAGAATTTCTTTTAAGAACCCGATGAACGCTAAAAGCTTACTTCCATGCTATGACTAAAGACAGTGAGACAAATCATAAAATAATACTTATGGGAAGGTCAATATGCAAGACACTGTTCCAAACCATTCATCATCCATCAGATAATACAAATTTGGCTCCTAAACATCAAATGTGGCCATCACTTGGATTTAGGTCTTTAGTGACAAGACATCCATCTGAGATGTGTATAGATTTTCTCAAACAAGACCGATTTAATGATAGATTTTGAAGATAAGATGCCACTTCAATCGTAAGGTTCCTAAGGAAAACTAGAAAATGTTAACTACTAATGATTATATACAACAACAGTCATGTTTGCCTCAATAATATCTCAAAATATATGATTCAAAGAAAGAAAGAAAGAAAGAAAAAAAGAGATATATAAATTCACCTGTATAAGATGCCAAGCACAATGCCAAGCAGATCTTGAAAATACTGGAGCCATTCCTTCCACAAACCTACAAAAGGTGAAGCGTTATACTCATTTTAGCAAGGAACAAAAGGCATCCACATTGAAATCCTATTCATAAATCATATTGCTTTTTAAATCGTTAAGGTTCCCTACATTAAAACTTAAAAAGACAAAAATACATCTTGAAGAGTTGCACAATAAAGCTGTTTTGATTTTTTTTTTTTTTTTTTGATCGGCAAAGAATAAAGCTGTTTTGATGACATTGCTTATTAGCTTGATGACATATTGAACCAAGACAATTAGGAGAATTAGCACAACTATTAACCCAGAAAATAGAACCATTTAGAGGAAATGGATCCATGTAGCTGGCCACAAGTAATTGAGACAAAGTCATGTTGAGTTGAGTTGAGTATTAACCAAGACAACATATTAATTATAAAAAATCAAAAATTTAAAGAGAGAGAGAGAGAGAGAGGAGAACAATAGAATATGATTATGGCCATAATATATAGGTATTATGATAACTTACCCAGTGCATGGTGGCCCCTTGCTGTCTTCTGTACACTTTGCACTGCCTCTAACATCCCATATTCTTCTGCATTAAGTAAAAATATGCTAGTATTAATATGACAAGACTTCAAATGGAGAATTATATCAACAATTTGCAAACACCCTCCACTCACCGATGAAACTTATTCGTTCGTACACGTGCGGTAATTTTGTGATGTATTTCAGTTGAATTTGGGCCTAAAGCTGGCTGAGATATCTCCAGTCCCTCTGATTTCACAATTTTCAAGTATCTGCAATGGGGGAAAGAACTACCACTCAATCAATATGTTCTATGGAAAGACTCTGGTTACCATATCTGCTAATTTCACACAAATACATTCCAACAACTCTACAATTTTAATTAAGGTGTATTCACAAAGAACTATCTGTACTAGTGCATTCACAAAATAATATTTGTACCAAATATTCATTTTTTAAGGAGGAAAACATCGAACTACAACGAAGAAAGAAATTCAGTAATTGCTTGAACTATACCTTCCTGGGTGAAAATTCTCTACGCCCAAATCCTCATCCCAAAGAAAAATATAATCGTAAAGAGACACAACAGCTGGATGCAGAAAGCGCTTTGCAAACCACCTGCAATAAAAATAAAACATTATCTCACCACTCTAGGATTAAAATTGTTGGCATACATGTAGACAGATTGGAGGGAGTCCACATCAAAGGAGAAAAAGAGGGGGGGGGGGGGAATGAATGAGTTGTCAATAAAGGCAATAGAAGGAACCACTATTTGATCAGTCTACCATTGAGATCCCATAGTAAAAAAAATATATCCATAAACTTATCCTAGTGCTTACTAAAAAAAAAATCATCAAACTTAAACAAAAACAACAACAAAAAAAAATTTACCATTTTGTTTGGTTATGAGCAACTATATGTATGGCCTTCTTACTCCACTCAAGATCCCGCCATCCATCCACGTTCCCATCATAATGGAATAACATAATTGTAAAATTCTCTGAAAGAAACTGAATTCACTAAAATTAGGCAAATAATGTCAACAAAATGGCATGTCTTATGATAACAACTGATATAGATTTTAAATGCCAAGCATTAATAGACAGTTATACCTTTTGAACAATATCATCAACATTACTTTTTTGTTTAATACCAACTGGAATTGCCAGCAAGTTATGAGAGCTTGAAACATTAACCTGAAAAGTGAAGAAAAGACGCACGTTGGCAACAAGTATGAAGTACTGATCTTCTACATAACTAACACTACTATAAATGTAACTGTTTATATAATTAAAAAAATAATAATAATAAAACCTTCGTTGTGAATTAAAGTTTGTGACTTGAAGACAAAGTACATGATTCAAAAGAAGTTTGTGTATTGATTCCAAAGTATACCAAGATCAAAACCTAACCTTTGACTTTGAACTACTTTTTGACCATAGAGGTTTTAACTCCAAATCCGACCTGGCTTGAATGATGCCACGAGGTAAACTATCCAAAGTAGTAGACACCACACCAGTATCCTAGATGAAAGGATCAGCAGCAGCTCAGAATAATGGTAAATATAAGGAACAACAACATTGACCTAACCCATCACGTGCATAAAACAACTGAAGAAATCCCAAAAACTTGTAAAATCAAGTATCAGATCTAATCAAAAGCAATAGGTGGAGTCATTATTAAGTGCATGTCTTAGGTAGACAAATACAAGAATAAAAACAGAGTAGTTAAAATAATAATAATAATCAAAACAAAACTCAAAATATTACCTTCCACGGGTAGAAAGGATTCAATCTTTTGTCTATCTGATGATGAAAAGGAGAAGAAAAAAATTAATGGAAGCAAAGTACAAAAAAAATAAAAGAAAAGGCCCAACTTCAAAAGTACTCCAAGGTACAAAGGAGACATCAGTGGATGATTATATTATTAAGAAACTAGTGTTTGAACAACAAACTACAAAAAAATGAGAACTATCAATTGGCACAAGGTTTCAAAGATGAAAAGCTTTTGTGTCAAACATCATAAGACAAGAATAACCATACAGATTAAAAAAAAACAAAAAACCTTCTAGTTTTGTTTCTTTTCTTTTTAAAGGCTGTTATCAACAAAGGAATGTCACATCAGTCATATTGTTCTGTTATTACAAGTTATATAGTATGAGAATAGCTTTAAATTAACTCCTGAAATTCACAATACATACACATGATCACCCAAAGCACAATATTCAAATTAGTGAAAATGTCACCATACCTCTGTCTGTCGAAACTGATAATTTGTAGTTCTATAGACTATGAACAACATAACTGTACAAATAATTCCCATAAACGGAAGTTGCTTCATTTTGACTCCGCATGTTCCCTGCAACCCCACCATTATATGGTTAAATACTCTTAAAAACTTCTATAATATGAAACAAGTTATTCAAAATGTCTATCCACCTAGTTTGTAAAATTAAAAGAATTACAAGTATAATCAAATAAAATATACCCAATCAAATAATCTGCGTCTTTTCCTCATCATCCATCTCCATGATTTAAATGTCCTCATAAACAGCTACAGTTTTTATCTATTCTCATAACAACTGAAATCAAAGAATATAAAGAATATATTAATATCAGAAGGGAAAAAAAAAAAAAACTCAAGCGTTAAAAAAATGTTAATGCTTATCTTATGCTTGATGTGAGTTTTGGTGAGTGAATACTTGATCATGACATTTGAGTTGTGTGTGTGTTATTTGTGCTGTGCATGTGTGAGTGTGGGAGAGTTTTTGGCTGAATATTGTATTTTAACTAGCTATAGTATTTATAAAAACATATTTTTGGAAACTATTTGGCAAAATACAACAGTTACTGAAACCGCAAATTGAAGTCAAAATTTTTATTAGAATCGCATATTCAAGTTGTGATTTTCTGTTGTCTAAATGTCAGCTTGGTATTTGCTGGCATTGTCAAAGTTAAAATCGCAGCAAGTTATAAATGTAAGTTGAAATCCACCCAACTTTTTATACCAAGAATGGAATTGCACTTGGAATTTGTGATTTCAGCCTGGGATGACTTGAGATTTCAAGGCTAAGTTGCCAAGCTGACATTTGGCGAACTCGGTAAAAAACCCACAACTTAAAAAAACGTTGTAATTTAAAAAAATGTTGTATTTTTGCAAATAGTTTCAAAATTATAGTATTTTTAGTTATACTTTTCACCTTATAATTTGACCTAAATTTCACTTTCATCTTTATTGTTTTAATTTGAACAATTTGCTCCCTACAGTTTAGATCCAGTTTCAATTTAGTCATTTCATTAATTTTTTTCTACATATACACCTCAAGAGACTAAAAATGTGCCAAAATCATTATTTTTAACATCCATTTAGAACGGAATGGCCAAATTAGAAGACTTAAATATGGGGACAAAATTGTTCAATTTAAAATAATAAAGACTTAGTGAAATTTAAATTAAAATACAAAGGTTAAAAGTGCAATTTACCTGTAATTAAATTACAATATTTAGCAAAAAGTCTCTAGATATTATACCAAAAAAACTCCTGGTGGGTGTGGGGTATATCATATATGTATGTTGTGTGCAATTGTGGGGTTAGAAACTTGTCCTAGATATGATTTTGGTAGCAGATATATAAAAGCTCTGAATTTTCAAATCCACAGTACAAGCAGCGCCCGAACAAAAATTTGACCGTATGGATTTTATTTTCAGGCAATCCAAAAATAAATGAAGAAGAAGAATAAGAAAGTGTTAGGATCAAAGACACCCAGAGAATTATCTCACACACACAGAAAACACAATATTTACGTGGTTCGGCCCAATGCCTACATCCACGGACAGAAATGAGAATTATCACTAAAATTGAGCAAAAATACAATTACAGAGGAGGAGATGAAACTCACTCAACTAACAGCTCTCACTCTCCAATTTCTGATGGTTCTCACTCATTGTCTACTCTCCTCTCAACCTCTATTTATACATATCATGAGGGAAGGTAGCTGGACAGCAATGGTGAGTGGATTGGTTAGTGGGGAGGTGCCACTCCCACTCTCTCTAAAGTGGTCTCCAACCACTCACATGGGATGATAATAACATAGCCAACAGAAAGTACTGTCTGAATTTTTCAATATTATCAAAAAGAAGACAAAAGTTATTGAATTCCAGCAGAAAATTAAGACATCAACAGAATCTCAACGAACATGATAGATTCTCTCTCACTTTCTCCTGAGCACACAACCAATATGTTTTCCCGGAAAATTACCAATATTTTCTCGCAAACCAAAAACTAAACAAAACAGGTACACAAAATTAATACAATTAATAGCAACAATAGTCCTTCAAGCTAAAACACACAAATTTCCTTGAAAAGAAAATTCAATGCGTTTTTCAGAGCTTGAAAATCTCAGGACTGATTCGTTATTCCACAAACAAAAAAACACACAAAATCGCAGCGTTCGCACTAACTCCGGCGATTACAAAGTCTATTGAAATTTGAGCAAAAAGTTAGGATATCAACAGAATCTCAACAAACATAAAGGATTCTTTCTCACTTTCCCGTCAGCACACAACCAATATTTTCCAGGAAAACACCAAAATTTTCCCGCAAAACAAAAAAACTAAACAGGTACACAAAATTAGTACAAACAACATTAGTCCTTCACTTATAACTATAGAACACACAAATTTGTACTAAAACAACCAAAAAAAAAAAAATTTCAATGCGTTTTCACAGCTCTGATTCACTATTTCAAAAACAAAAACAAACACCGAAAATCGCAACCTCCGGCGATTTCGATTACGAGAGAGAGTGAAAGAGAAAACAAACCTAGGCGATTCAAAGCGTGATTGAGAATGAATAGAACGTGCTGATTGCAGCTGAAACAGAGATCCGACGACCTCCTCCGGCGACCGGAATCGAAGTCCGGCGAGCTCGTCTACGTGTGTGTCTCTGTATATATATATATATATGTGTGTGTATGTAGTTCACTATGAGTTGTTCAATATGTTGGCGTCAATATAGAAAGATGCAGAGAGATTTAGAGAGAGAAACAGAGGAGGAGGGAGAAAGCGAGGTGGAAGGAGTCGACAGACGGAGGGGTCGAAGGCGCCACGTTTTATGGAGAGAGAAGAGAGAGAGAGAGAGAGAGAGGGATTGCTTGCAAGTTGCATGTGTTTGTATTCACTTAAAATCGTGCACAGACAAACACCCAATCGGCACACCGTCTCCTTAATTCCATAAAAGTCGAGTAGTCTACTAGTACAAGTTGAATACGTTACACAATTACTCGCTCTAATGTTTTTCTGTATTAAAGACTGGTTTGGGAATTAGGGTTGTATTAGGACGTGGCTTAGAAATTAGGATTGTTTAAAAATTGAAAAAATAGATTCAATCTGGTTTGGGAATTAGGATTGTTTAAATATTGGCAAAATTAATTCAATTTGGTTTAAATTATTGGTTTGGTTTATTCTGATAATAGTGCAATCATTTAAATCGGTTTGATTCCTAATTCTGAAACTTCAATTTTTTTTATATTTTTATATGTAAAAATTAAAATATAAAAAGTCTTTTATAAGATTTAAATGCTAACCTTCACTGTGAAATTGATAAACTTTAATTAATTTAACTAAATTAATTATAGTTAATTTGTTTATTAACATAAAATATATATCTAAACCCATAAAATTGAATCAAAGCAAACCAAATTAGTTTTTATAGTTCGGTTCTAGTCCAGTTATAAAGTTCTAATTTTTCTGGAACCAATTATCATAGTTCGGCTCCTGATTTACTTTAAAATTGGATTAATTTAATCTGCGTACACCCCTAGTTATTTTAGTTGATTTTTTAAAAAATATGTGTAGACAAGTTTTTTCCAAAGACAACCCTTAATATGTTAACTTATGTAAAAATATATTAATAAATGTGAAAGAATCTTTTATTTTCGTCTGAGTTAAATTTTTTCTTTTTTGACTATTTAATTTCTTTTAGCTTTTAAGTTAAAATATCAATATGCCCAGCAAGACTTAGGTCTCGTTTGGAAACAGACTATTTTAGTAACTTTTTTATTTTTTAGCTAAAATATGAGGTAAAAAAAACTAATATGTTTGGGGTAACTTTTTGATTTTTTTACTAAAAGATATGTAAAAAGTAGAGAGAAAAGAGAATATTTGACTTTTTAGTATAGGTTATAGGTTTTTTGACTTTTTTAATAACTTTTTGATTAAAATGTTAACTTGCTAAACGAGGCCTTAAATTCAACTTTCAGTGTCTTTTCAAGTAGAAGTTTAAATGGATTACGTTTGGTAGAGTTTTGTAAATATCATTTGAGAGTATGAGTTGTATTTTGAATTTGTGAGTTTTAGAATTATGATTTGAGTGTGAAAATTTTGTTTGGTGAAGAGTTTTGAATTGAGTGAGAAATTTTTAATGTGACATATGATATTTGATACAAAAACTTACAACTTATAACCAAACATACAACTCAAAATTATATTAAAACACATAAAAAATATTTAAAAATTCGTAAAACATTTTTTCCGAATATATAAAAATTAACATATCAATTCCAAAAAAAAAAAAAAAAACTGTTATGGTCAACCGGTGGGACAACCAGTTAGGTCAAATTTGAAGAAAAAAAAATCGAAAACCGCACCTGAGACTGAGTGTTTTGTGCTGAGTTTTGGAAACGTGATTTTAGAATACGTTCCAAACATCATACTTGAATCAAGGTGTACAACCATGGTTTGAAAACACAACCAAACACAACCTAAAATTTTTTATAATGATTTCTTGCATTGTGAGGGCCAGTTGGCATCTGGGCTGTGATTTAATTAGTCAATAAAAAAGACAATTTAACTAATGAAACAAAATGTCATATCAAAATTCTAATCATATCATTTTTTCTCTCACAGTCATCAAATCAATTACAAAGAAAGTTAAAAATTTATCCCAAATAATAGAATTTTTTTTGTTAGAGTAAAATAATCAAAAAAAAAAAAAAGTTATCCCAAACAAAGCCTAATTGTCAAAGGTAACAATTCTTTTAACATTTTTTTTTTTCTAATAAGAGGGAAAAAATGTCATTACCAAACTAGATATTTTGAGTTTCAAATAAATATAAATAAATAAATTATATGTCTTTTATATTTATCATAAAAAAATAAAAATTCATTGAATGCCATGGAAAGTACAATAAGATCATTCACTTTCATAGAAACAAATACTCAATTCACAGTTACACCACATTATCATAAGTTACGGCACGAAATAACTACAAATTTATGTAATTTGAATATAATACAAGAGATTAAGATAACTTCCTATGAAGCAATCCCAAACTCAAATAAATAAATAAATAAAAAGATATATATATATGTATATAATAGAATAAGTCCAAGGATTTATATTCATTTACGCTGTGTTTGGTCGGGGGATTTGAGGAGGGATTTGGAAAGAGAAAGAGAAAAGTTAGGTGAAATGTGAATAAAATATACATACATTTCACATAGTTTCACACACCTTTTTCCTTTCCCTTTCCAAATTTCTTTCCAAATTTCTCTCCAAATCTCCCAACCAAACACAGCATTATTATACGCGTCCCTTTGAGTTTCAATTAGGACCACTTAATTAAGATGGAACATGTATTCATGCATGCAAAGATTTTTTTTTTTTTATCTAACAATAACATTTCTCCTTAAAATATTCTTATCAAAAAGTTTAATTTTTGTTTTAAAATTTTTTTTTGCACAACTAATACTCTTATCAAAATTCCATTGATCTTTTAAGTCATTAAGGAAAATACTAAACAAACTAGCAAATATTACTAATGTATCATGCTATAAATGAACTCTAGAATTTAAAACATAACTCGCTTTAATAGCTGCCACATCAATAAATAAAATAATTATAAAATTTATTAATTTGAATAACATATTAGGTGGAGCAGATGTGAGTTGAGTAATGGGACCCACATAATAAGGATTATTAGATATGTGATATTTTGATATTCTTACGATTTTCCCCAATATGATATTTAAGAAGTGTTGTAATTGTGTGAGCCAAGTATAAGAATTACATATTCAGCGAATAGAGCACTTATTATAATAAATTATATTTTTAGTGATTAAATTTTTAGTTGTTAAAAGTTATTTTTTAGTTGCCAAAACATTTTGCCGACTAAACTTTTTGGTTGCCGGCTTTATTGTTAGATGATTGGCGGGAAAGGTATTGGTGGCTAATTTTTTTTTTGGTCGCCGAAAATCACCAATTGGCGACTAAAAATTTAGTTGTCCAAAGTTTTCAATGAATGTCTTTTTTTGTTTTAGCGACTAAAATTTTTAGTCACTAAAAATGTGGCTCTCCTTTTTGGCTACCAATTTTTTAGTCGCTAAAATCATGGTGCTCCTTTTCAGCTACTAATTTTTTAGTAGCCAAAAACTTTCATTTTTTTTGGCTACTAACTGTTTAGTTGCCAACAAGTTCCCTTTTTTATTTTTTTTACTATTAGTAAATGTTTAGTCGTCAAAAACTCTATTTATTAATTTTTAAAAAATGCATAAATTGAATATTTTTCATTAATTTCTAAATTATATGCATTCCATTATCAATGCAACCTGTAACCAGTACATATACTGAATAACACATCTATCAATTATCATCTAAATCCATTATCAATAATACTCATGTCATTATCAACTATCCAAAAACTTTAACTTGTAATATGATATTCCAAATATCATATAAATCCATACCAACCAAGTATAATCCATCTAAATAAAAAATTACATACAAAAACACTGAATTTTCAAAACAGAGGATTGTAGAAAAATAAATGTCTTTCATATACAGAACAAATGCTCTTCATACACAAAAATAAATATCCACAATAGCTTACGCAAAAGCAATCTGTAAATATATAACCATTAGCACTTATTCAATAAAATTGACATTTCAAATTATAACAATTATAAAAAGAAAATTGAATTAAGATACCTTTAGTGGATTAACATGGTGCACTGAAATGCTACGACCAGCCGCTGTAAAAAATATATATATATATATATATATATATGAAATGTCAATAGCTCCAACTATTCAAATCCTCCCACAAGCAAAATATCAAATAGGTTTCTCATTAATTTGAAATGCCTTTACTTCTCTTCAGCAAATTATGCTTCATAACCATTGAAATAGTTGACCAAAATCTCACATTAGGATCCCATTAATATACATCAATAAAAAGCACTAGACGACATTTAAAAAGCGTGTGCATTTTTGTAACCTTACCTTCTCCATGTTTAGGACAAGCTCTTGTTTCCTCATTCTTTCACTGATCCAATTTCTCCTCACTTGTGTATCGCATGAATAAATGAAGAAAACAAGTCACCAATAGAAGATTTGAGGAAGATTTGAGGACATATGATTTAAAATTGACATCCCTTAGACCAACTTATTTAAAGATTTTCTAACCTCAAGTAAAGTACTCCACTCACAATTGGAATTTATGGCTACCAGTAAGGTCAATATCCCAACCTCTATTCTAGAAAAGTTACGACTACTGTTGTAGTTACTCAAAAAAACATTGAATGTGCATCATCGTTCTTCAAACATTAACTAAACAAATTTGTAGTAATTCTGGGAGTAGGTTATTTGGTTGTGTAGAATTAAAATTTTGCATGGAATAGAATTAACTTTCAAGAATTTTACAAATGGTTATTCATTTCAAAATTTTATGAAATTTTAACTAAAGGTTCCTGTGGGGACATAAAAATTTTGAATAACGACACGTGGCCGAGATGTCACCAAAGTGCCAGCCGAGGTGCCACGTGTCCTGGTCATGACGCCGAGGTAATCTCTGCTAGGCCGAGGTTATCTGTGAGAATACCGGAATCCGAGATAAAGCGGATAAGGGACAAGAGTCCTAGAATGGGAGAAGACTACAGTTTGGGTAAAGATGAGACTCTTAGAGAGTTTATCCTAATTCTACTAGGAGTCCAAGATTAGCAGTAATCCTAAGTCCATTATGTTGGATCAATCTTCTGTGTAAATAAAATAAACTGAAATAATTCGAACAAAATAAAATAACACTTACAGAAATTATTTTGTTGAACCAAACAAAAATTAAAAGACCAAGTCGAGTGTGTGACACTCTGTCCTTAAGACAGATTCGCCCCGCTATGGTACTTACGGTTGAGTGGCGTCTATCTCCCAGGATACAATGATCTTCACAAATTGTAGTAGTACTCCAAACAATTTGTTTGGCGAACCAAACCTGTGTTCTAACTCTCTG